TTAAATACATCTGACGAGAAAACGTTTACTTGTTTCATTCCTCTGTACTCTCACAATACATTCTGCCTATTCATATGCATCATTGTGCTAAATAAATATTAACTGTTACACACCTTAGTGGTTTAAATAGCTGGCTGTTTATTCGTTTAAGGAGATTATTTACAAAAAAAAAATTGCTATTAGTTTTAAAATATAGGTCGTAGTTTATCATTGCTTTGTTCAACTTCCTGTCTATTGTAGCTCTATATTTCTTATGAAACCTTACCATCATTCTTTCTTCCTTCTCTACTATCTATTCGCACAAACCCCTTAGGATATTTACTCTCTTAACCATCCTTTCCTCAATACATCCTGTGAGTATCTAATTTTCTAAGCCGTCTTTCTTAATAATGCATACCAAAAATTTAAAAGTCTCTTTGTTCTTTTATATTTAAATGTCATTTTTATTCCCATTTTCTGTAAAAAAAATTGTTAGTTACATGTTTAGTCGATGGTATTCTCAGTATCTTTTTAGAGAACCACACATCTCCGTTGCTTGCAGAGAATTTTCATTTGTGCGGACATTGTCCAATATTCACTGCCATGTAGGAAGATTCATATTACAAATCTGTTCAGCGCACTTTATTTTGTTTCTAAGCAAAATTTCCAACTTTCAATTTCCAACCTTGCTTAATTTCTAGAAGACATCTTATTCCTATGCACTTTTCGGATTTCTCTCATCATTTCCATCGTCTGTTACTACTCCCAAGACCTGCTTGATTCTGATCTCTCTCAATTCCAAACTCACACATTTGCCTTTCATTCTTTTTCTTTTTATAGTTAATGCTTAAACCTGATTTGCCGCTTCCTTTTGCAACATTTTCTTCTCTACTTGTAATAAAGTCAGATTTTCGATATCTGTTAATAAAATAAAGATTTTGACTTTATCGCTGAATTTGTCAGAGTGTTTGTAAATCATGTTTAACGGAATCTGGAATAAAACTGTTGCAATGCTGCGATATAAATATTATCACTTTTTGTTTATTTTCGCTTTTATTATTCATTTCTTTTTTTATTAAATTGGTTTCGATTCGACTCAAACGTAAGAAAATCTACGATTAATTCCGAAATCTTTTCTTTACACTTCCTAAACTTGAAAATCTGCAAGTCTTCCACTTAATAAGGGAAAATATATGATTTGTTGCAACGAATACTATATCGATCACATAACTTGTATCATAATATATTTTCATAACGTTCTATTTTATTATAAACTAGCTTAAAAACCGCACACCGTGCTGATTTTTTTAAAGCTAGTTCCTGCTCTGATTTCTGCAAGTTGTTTTTCATCCTGGCAAGGAATCTTTTTTGGCACCAAATAAAATCATTGCAAACAGTTATTGTACCTTCAGATTTACTGGATGAAGTGTTTTGATTCAACTGAGTTCTCATCCAGAATAGATAGCAATCGCCCTAGAGGAAGTGTTAGATATTTCAGCTGTATTTTTCGTTTGTTACAGCACATCCCATGTGGTTCATGCTTGAATCTAAGAGCATTACAATGTTTACAGTGAATGATCACTGATCTAATATATATTTTTAGATGATTTGAAGAGTTAGTGCCACAATTGTATTGACCAGCCAGCGTGGACAGGCTCAAAAAGGAAGATGCCCTCCTTTTAGCATGACTGTGATTATCACTAAACTGTCTGGCGTGTCTTTGATCTGATTTCCTCTTCAATGGTTTGCAGTATCTGTTTCTCTTCCCGAAAAAGGCTGACTGTCATCATCTGCAGCTCTTGAACTTCTCTACAGCACTTGATCTTCTCTGAGGCTCTTGATCTTCTCTGCAGCCTTTGGTCTTCTTTAAAACTCTTGATCTTTTCTACAGCTCTTGATCTTCTCTGCAGCCTTTGGTCTTCTTTAAAACTCTTGATCTTCTCTACAGCTCTTGATTTTCTCTGCAGCTCTTGATCTTCTCTGCAGCTCTTGATCTTCTCTGCAGCGTTTGGTCTTCTTTAAAACTCTTGATCTTCTCTGCAGCTCTTGATCTTCTCTGCAGCGTTTGGTCTTCTTTAAAACTCTTGATCTTCTCTGAGGCTCTTGATCTTCTCTGCAGCCTTTGGTCTTCTTTAAAACTCTTGATCTTCTCTACAGCTCTTGATCTTCTCTGCAGCTCTTGATCTTCTCTGCAGCCTTTGGTCTTCTTTATAACTCTTGATCTTTTTTCTACAGCTCTTGATCTTCTCTGCAGCCTTTGGTCTTATTTAAAAACTCTTGATCTTTTCTCTACAGCTCTTGATTTTCTCTGCAGCTCTTGATCTTCTCTGCAGCTCTTGATCTTCTCTGCAGCGTTTGGTCTTCTTTAAAACTCTTGATCTTCTCTGCAGCTCGTTTGATCTTCTTTAAAACGTTTGGATCTTCTCTAAAACTCTTGATCTTCTCTGCATCTTCTTGCAGCCTTTGGTCTTTTAAAACTCTTGATCTTCTCTGAGGCTCTTGATCTTCTCTGCAGCCTTTGGTCTTCTTTAAAACTCTTGATCTTCTCTGCAGCTCTTGATCTTCTCTGCAGCGTTTGGTCTTCTTTAAAACTCTTGATCTTCTCTGCAGCTCTTGATCTTCTCTGCAGCCTTTGGTCTTCTTTAAAACTCTTGATCTTCTGCAGCTCTTTTGATCTTCTCTGAGGCTCTTGATCTTCTCTGCAGCCTTTCTTCTCTGCAGCGTTTGGTCTTCTTTAAAACTCTTGATCTTCTCTGCAGCTCTTGATCTTCTCTGAGGCTCTTTGGTCTTTGCAAACTTTGGTCTTCTCTACAGCTCTTGATCTTCTCTGGCTCTTGATCTTCTCTGCAGCTCTTGATCTTCTCTGCAGCGTTTGGTCTTCTTTTAAAACTCTTGATCTTCTCTGCAGCTCTTGATCTTCTCTGCAGCTCTTGGTCTTCTTTGCAGCCTTTGGTCTCTCTTGATCTTCTCTGCAGCTCTTGATCTTCTCTGAAGCTCTTGATCTTCTCTGCAGCCTTTGGTCTTCTTTACAACTCTTGATCTTTCTCTTGCAGCTCTTGATCTTCTTGGCTCTTGATCTTCTCTGCAACAACTCTTGATCTTCTCTGCAGCTCTTGATCTTCTCTTTGGTCTTCTTTGATCTTTCTTCCCTGCAGCTCTTGATCTTCTCTGAGGCTCTTGATCTTCTCTGCAGCCTTTGGTCTTCTTTACAACTCTTGATCTTCTCTACAGCTCTTGATCTTCTCTGAGGCTCTTGATCTTCTCTGCAGCTCTTGATCTTCTCTGCAGCGTTTGGTCTTCTTTACAACTCTTGATCTTCCCTGCAGCTCTTGATCTTCTCTGAGGCTCTTGATCTTCTCTGCAGCCTTTGGTCTTCTTTACAACTCTTGATCTTCTCTACAGCTCTTGATCTTTCTCTGCAGCTTCTTGATCTTCTCTGCAGCTCTGATCTTTTGGTCTTTCTTTTGCAGCTCTTGATCTTCTCTGCGGCCTTTGGTCTTCTTTACAACTCTTGATCTTCTCTCTGCTCTTGATCTTCTCTGCAGCCTTTGGTCTTCTTTACAACTCTTGATCTTCTCTGCAGCTCTTGATCTTCTCTGCAGCTCTTGATCTTCTCTACAGCACTTGATCTTCTCTGCAGCTCTTGGTCTTTGCAGCTCTTGATCTTCTCTGCAGCCTTTGGTCTTCTTTACAACTCTTGATCTTCTCTACAGCTCTTGATCTTCTCTACAGCTCTTGATCTTCTCTGCAGCTCTTGATCTTCTCTGCAGCCTTTGGTCTTCTTTACAACTCTTGATCTTCTCTGCAGCTCTTGATCTTCTCTGCAGCGTTTGGTCTTCTTTACAACCCTTGATCTTCCCTGCAGCTCTTGATCTTCTCTGAGGCTCTTGATCTTCTCTGCAGCCTTTGGTCTTCTTTACAACTCTTGATCTTCTCTACAGCTCTTGGCTCTTGATCTTCTCTGCAGCTCTTGCTCTTGATCTTCTCTGCAGCCTTTGGTCTTCTTTAAACTCTTGATCTTCTCTACAGCTCTTGATCTTCTCTGCAGCTCTTGATCTTCTCTGCAGCCTTTGGTCTTCTTTACAACTCTTGATCTTCTCTGCAGCTCTTGATCTTCTCTGCAGCTCTTGATCTTCTCTGCAGCCTTTGGTCTTCTTTACAACTCTTGATCTTCTCTACAGCACTTGATCTTCTCTACAGCTCTTGATCTTCTCTGAGGCTCTTGATCTTCTCTGCAGCCTTTGGTCTTCTTTACAACTCTTGATCTTCTCTGCAGCTCTTGATCTTCTCTGCAGCGTTTGGTCTTCTTTACAACTCTTGATCTTCTCTGCAGCTCTTGATCTTCTCTGAGGCTCTTGATCTTCTCTGCAGCTCTTGATCTTCTCTTTTGGTCTTCTCTTACAAGCCTTTGATCTTCTTTAAAACTCTTGATCTTCTCCTGAGCTCTTTGATCTTCTCTGCAGCTCTTGATCTTCTCTGCAGGGTTTGGTCTTCTTTACAACTCTTGATCTTCTCTGCAGCTCTTGATCTTCTCTGAGGCTCTTGATCTTCTCTGCAGCCTTTGGTCTTCTTTACAACTCTTGATCTTCTCTACAGCTCTTGATCTTCTCTGCAGCTCTTGATCTTCTCTGCAGCTCTTGATCTTCTTCTTTACAACTCTTGATCTTCTTCCTGCAGCTCTTGACTGTCATCTGCAGCTCTTGATCTTCTCTTTCTTGTTGTTTGGTCTTCTTTACAACTTTGATCTTCATCTGCAGCTCTTGATCTTTCTCTGCAGCCTTTGTATCTTCTTTAAAACTCTTGATCTTCATCTGCAGCTCTTGATCTTCTCAGCTCTTGATCTTCTCTGCAGCCTTTGGTCTTCTTTAAAACTTTGATCTTCTCTACAGCTCTTGCAGCTCTTGATCTTTCTGAGGCTTTTATCTTCTTTAAAACTCTTTGGTCTTCTTCTTGATCTTCTCTACAGCTCTTGATCTTCTCTGCAGCCTTTGGTCTTCTTTGGGCTTTGATCTTCTCTACAGCTCTTGATTCTTTCTCTTTCTTGATCTTCTCTCTTTGTCTTCAGCTCTTGATCTTCTCTTTCTTTCTTCTTGTAACTCTTGATCTTCTCTTCTCTTCTTCTCTTGATCTTCTCTGCAGCTCTTGATCTTCTCTTTCTTTTGATCTTCTTTACAACTCTTGATCTTCTCTGCAGCTCTTGATCTTCTCTGCAGCTCTTGATCTTCTCTGCAGATCTTCTTTGGTCTTCTTTGCAACTCTTGATCTTCTCTACAGCTCTTGATCTTCTCTCTTTAATGATCTTCTTGCAGCCTTCTCTGCAGCTCTTGATCTTCTCTGCAGCCTTTGGTCTTCTCTGCAACTCTTGATCTTCTCTCACAGCACTGTCATCTTCTTTGCTCTTGATCTTCTCTTTGCTCTTTCTCTGCAGCTCTTGATCTTCTCTGCAGCTTTGGTCTTCTCTTTCAAAACTTGATCTTCTTTACAGCTCTTGATCTTCTCTACAGCTCTTGATCTTCTCTTTCTTTGATCTTCTTTGCAGCCTTTGATCTTCTTTACTGTCTTCTCTTGCTCTTGATCTTCTCTTTTTCTTCTCTTGATCTTCTGCTTTCTCTGCAGTTCTTCATCTTCTCTGCAGCTCTTGATCTTCTCTTGATCTTCTCTAAGGCTCTTGATTTTCTCTGCAGCCTTTGGTCTTCTTTAAAACTCTTGATCTTCTCTACAGCTCTTGATCTTCTCTGCAGCTCTTGATCTTCTCTGCAGCTCTTGATCTTCTCTGCAGCTCTTGATCTTCTCTGCAGCTCTTGATCTTCTCTGCAGCCTTTGGTCTTCTTTACAACTCTTGATCTTCTCTGCAGCTCTTGATCTTCTCTGAGGCTCTTGATCTTCTCTAAGCCTCTTCTTTTAAAACTCTTGATCTTCTCTGCAGCTCTTGATCTTCTCTGCAGCTCTTGATCTTCTCTGCAGGCTCTTGTCTTCTCTGCAAACTTTGGTCTTCTCTAAAACTCTTGATCTTCTCTGCAGCTCTTGATCTTCTCTTCTTCTCTGCAACTCTTTGGTCTTCTTTAAAACTCTTGATCTTCTCTACAGTTCTTTCATCTGCAGCTCTTGATCTTCTCTGCAGCTCTTGGTCTTCTTTGGTCTTGATCTTCTCTACAGCTCTTGATCTTCTCTACAGCTCTTGATCTTCTCTGCAGCTCTTGATCTTCTCTGCAGCCTTTGGTCTTCTTTAAAACTCTTGATCTTCTCTACAGCTCTTGATCTTCTCTGCAGCTCTTGATCTTCTCTGCAGCCTTGTATCTTCTTAAGCCTCTTGGTCTTCTCACTGCTCTTGATCTTCTCTGCAGCTGATCTTCTCTGAGGGCTCTTGATCTTCTCTTCTGCAGTATCTTGGTCTTCTTGCAAAACTCTTGATCTTCTCTACAGCTCTTGATCTTCTCTGCAGCTCTTGATCTTCTCTGCAGCCTTTGGTCTTCTTTATTTTCACTCTTGATCTTCTCTGCATCTTCTCTGCAGCTCTTGATCTTCTCTTTGCTCTTGATCTTCTCTGCAGCTTTGATCTTCTCTGCAGCTCTTGGTCTTCTCTTTAAAACTCTTGATCTTCTCTACTTTCTTGATCTTCTCTGCAGCTCTTGATCTTCTCTGCAGCCTTTCTTCTTCTTTACAAAAACTCTTGATCTTCTCTACTGCTCTTGATCTTCTCTGCAGCTCTTGATCTTCTCTGCAGCCTTTGGTCTTCTTTAAAACTCTTGATCTTCTCTACTGCTCTTGATCTTCTCTGCAGCTCTTGATCTTCTTCTCTTCTTTAAAACTCTTGATCTTCTCTGCAGGCTTTGGTCTTCTCTGCAGCTCTTGATCTTCTCTTTCCTTTGGTCTTCTTTAAAACTCTTTCTCTACAGCTCTTGATCTTCTTCATCTTCATCTGCAGCCTTTGGTCTTCTTTAAAACTCTTGATCTTCTCTAGGCTCTTGATCTTCTCTGCAGCTCTTGATCTTCTCTGCAGCCTTTGGTCTTCTTTAAAACTCTTGATCTTCTCTACAGCTCTTGATCTTCTCTGCTCTCTTGATCTTCTCTGCAGCTTCTTTGGTCTTCTTTAAAACTCTTGATCTTCTCTGCAGCTCTTGATCTTCTCTGCAGTGTTGATCTTCTCTGCAGCTCTTGATCCTTTGGTCTTCTTTAAAACTCTTCATCTTGGCTCTTGCAGCTCTTCTCTGCAGCTCTTGATCTTCTCTGCAGCCTTTGGTCTTCTTTAAAACTCTTGATCTTCTCTGCAGCTCTTGATCTTCTCTGCAGCTCTTGATCTTCTCTGCAGCCTTTGGTCTTCTTTAAAACTCTTGATCTTCACTGCAGGCCTTGGTCTTCTTTGCAGCTCTTGATCTTCTCTGAAGCCTTTGGTCTTCTTTAAAACTCTTGATCTTCTCTACAGCTCTTGATCTTCTCTGCAGCTCTTGATCTTCTCTGCAGCCTTTGGTCTTCTTTAAAACTCTTGATCTTCTCTACAGCTCTTGATCTTCTCTGCAGCTCTTGATCTTCTCTGCAGCCTTTGGTCTTCTTTAAAACTCTTGATCTTCTCTACAGCTCTTGATCTTCTCTGCAGCTCTTGATCTTCTCTGCAGCCTTTGGTCTTCTTTAAAACTCTTGATCTTCTCTGCAGCTCTTGATCTTCTTGCACTCTTCTTCTGCAGCTCTTGATCTTCTCTGCAGCCTTTGTCTTCTTTAAAACTCTTGATCTTCTCTGCAGCTCTTGATCTTCTCTGCAGCCTTTGGTCTTCTTTAAAACTCTTGAACTTCACTGCAGGCCTTGGTCTTCTTTGCAGCTCTTGATCTTCTCTGAAGCCTTTGGTCTTCTTTAAAACTCTTGATCTTCTCTACAGCTCTTGATCTTCTCTCTGCTCTTGATCTTTGGTCTTCTTTAAAACTCTTGATCTTCTCAGCTCTTGATCTTTCTCTTGATCTTCTCAGCCTTTGGTCTTCTTTAAAACTCTTGATCTTCTCTACAGCTCTTGATCTTCTTCTCTTTCTTCTCTGCAGCCTTTGGTCTTCTTTAAAACTCTTGATCTTCTCTCTCTTGCAGCTCTTGATCTTCTCTTCAGCCTTTGGTCTTCTTTAAAACTTTCTTCTCTTGATCTTCTCTGCAGCTCTTGGTCTTCTCTTGCTTTTGGTCTTCTTTTCTGTCATTTGCAGCTCTTCTTCTCTGCAGCTCTTTGATCTTCTCTGATCTTTCACTTGGTCTTCTCTGCAGCTCTTGATCTTCTCTAGGCCTTTGGTCTTCTTTAAAACTCTTGATCTTCTCTACAGCTCATCTTCTCTGCATCTCTTGATCTTCTCTGCAGCTCTTTCTTCTTCTTTAAAATGCTCTTGATCTTCTCTGCTCTTGATCTTCTCTGCGGCCTTTTGATCTTCTTTTCTTCTCTTGATCTTCTCTGAAGTTTCATCTTCTCTGCAGCTCTTGATCTTCTCTCCTTTTCTTTAAAACTCTTGATCTTCTCTACAGGTTCTTGATCTTCTCTGCAGCTCTTGATCTTCTCTGCAGCCTTTGGTCTTCTTTTAAAACTCTTGATCTTCTCTACAGCTCTTGATCTTCTCTCTGCTGGTCTCTTGTATCTTCTCTTAAGCCTTTTTCTTCTTTAAAACTCTTGATCTTCTCTACAGCTCTTGATCTTCTCTGTAGCTCTGATCTTCTCTAATTTGGTCTTGATATTCTCTTCTCTGCAGCTCTTGGTCTTCTTTAAAACTCTTGTATCTTCTCTACAGCTCTTCATCTTCTCTGCAGCTCTTGATCTTCTCTGCAGCCTTTGGTCTTCTTTAAAACTCTTGATCTTCTCTGCAGCTCTTGATCTTCTCTGCAGCTCTTGATCTTCTTCTCTGCTTTTTGTCTTTTTCTCATCTACAGCTCTTGATCTTCTCTGCAGCTCTTGATCTTCTCTGCAGCTCTTCACTCTTTATCTGCAGCTCTTGGTCTTCTCTAAAACTCTTGATCTTCTCTACAGTTTCTTGATCTTCTCTGCAGCTCTTGATCTTCTCTGCAGCCTTTGGTCTTCTTTAAAACTCTTGATCTTCTCTGTCAGCTCTTGATCTTCTCTGCAGCTCTTGATCTTCTCTGCAGCCTTTGGTCTTCTTTAAAACTCTTGATCTTCTCTGCAGCTCTTGATCTTCTCTTTTTGTTCTTCTTTAAAACTCTTGATCTTCTCTACAGCTCTTGATCTTCTCTGCAGCTCTTGGTCTTCTTTACAACTCTTTCTTCTCTACAGCTCTTGATCTTCTCTGCAGCTCTTGATCTTCTCTCTTTGGTCTTGATCTTCTCTTTAATCTTCTCTGCAGCTCTTGATCTTCTCTTTTGGTCTTCTCTGCAGCTCTTGATCTTCTCTGCAGCTCTTGATCTTCTCTGCATCCTTTGGTCTTCTTTAAAACTTTCTTCTCTGCAGCTCTTGATCTTCTCTGCAGCTCTTGATCTTCTCTGAAGCCTTTGGTCTTCTTTAAAACTCTTGATCTTCTCTGCAGGCTTTGGCTCTTGATCTTCTCTGCAGCTCTTGATCTTCTCTGCAGCCTTTGATCTTCTTTAAAACTCTTGATCTTCTCTAAAACTCTTGATCTTCTCTGCAGCTCTTGATCTTCTCTGCAGCTCTTGGTCTTTCTCTGCAGCCTTTGGTCTTCTTTAAAAAAGCTCTTGATCTTCTCTAGGGCTCTTGATCTTCTCTGCAGCCTTTGGTCTTCTTTAAAACTCTTGATCTTCTCTTCTCTTGATCTTCTGACATCTGCTCTTGATCTTCTCTGCAGCCTTTGGTCTTCTTTAAAACTCTTGATCTTCTCTGCAGCTCTTGATCTTCTCTGCAGCTCTTGATCTTCTCTGCAGCCTTTTCTTCTTTAAAACTCTGATCTTCTCTACAGCTCTTGATCTTCTCTACAGCTCTTGATCTTCTTTAATCCTTTGGTTTCAAAACTCTTGATCTTCTCTACAGCTCTTGATCTTCTCTGCAGCTCTTTTTTGGTCTTCTTAAAACTCTTGATCTTCTGCACAGCTCTTGATCTTTCTCTTTCTTCTTGCAGCCTTTGGTCTTCTTTAAAACTCTTGATCTTCTCTGCAGCTCTTGATCTTCTCTGCAGCTCTTGATCTTCTCAGCCTTTGGTCTTCTTTAAAAACTCTTGATCTTCTCTACTAGCTCTTGATCTTGCAGCTCTTGATCTTCTCTGCAGCCTTTGTCTTTTTAAAACTCTTGATCTTCTCTCAGTCTTCTTGATCTTCTTCTGCAGATCTTCTCTCTTGATCTTCTCTGCATCCTTTGGTCTTCTTTAAAACTCTTGATCTTCTCTACAGCTCTTGATCTTCTCTGCAGCTCTTGATCTTCTCTGCAGCCTTTGGTCTTCTTTAAAAACTCTTGATCTTCTTTTCTTGATCTTCTCTGCAGCTCTTGATCTTCTCTGCAGCCTTTGGTCTTCTTTAAAACTCTTGATCTTCTCTACAGCTCTTGATCTTCTCTGCAGCTCTTGATCTTCTCTGCATCCTTTGGTCTTCTTTAAAACTCTTGATCTTCTCTACTGCTCTTGATCTTCTCTACAGCTCTTGATCTTCTCTGCAGCCTTTGGTCTTCTTTAAAACTCTTGATCTCTGCAGCTCTTGATCTTCTCTGCAGCCTTTGGTCTTCTTTAAAACTCTTGATCTTCTCTGCAGCTCTTGATCTTCTCTGCAGCTCTTGATCTTCTCTGCAGCCTTTGGTCTTCTTTAAAACTCTTGATCTTCTCTGCAGCTCTTGATCTTCTCTGCAGCTCTTGATCTTCTCTGCAGCCTTTGGTCTTCTTTAAAACTCTTGATCTTCTCTACAGCTCTTGATCTTCTCTGCAGCTCTTGATCTTCTCTGCAGCCTTTGGTCTTCTTTAAAACTCTTGATCTTCTCTACAGCTCTTGATCTTCTCTGCAGCTCTTGATCTTCTTTAAAACTCTTGAATTTCTCTGCAGCTCTTGATCTTCTCTGCAGCCTTTGGTCTTCTTTAAAACTCTTGATCTTCTCTACAGCTCTTGATCTTCTCTGCAGCTCTTGATCTTCTCTGCAGCCTTTGGTCTTCTTTAAAACTCTTGATCTTCTCTACAGCTCTTGATCTTCTCTGCAGCTCTTGATCTTCTCTGCAGCCTTTGGTCTCTTTAAAACTCTTGTCTTCTATCTGCTTTAATCTTCTCTGCAGCTCTTGATCTTCTGCAGCTCTTGATCTTCTCTGCAGCCTTTGGTCTTCTTTAAAACTCTTGATCTTCTCTGCAGCTCTTTGTCTTCTCTGCATCTCTTGATCTTCTCTACAGCCTTGTATCTTCTTTTAAAACTCTTGATCTTTCTTGCTCTTGATCTTCTCTGCAGCTCTTGATCTTCTCTTCTTCTTGCATCCTTTATTCTTCTTTAAAACTCTTGATCTTCTCTACAGCTCTTGATCTTCTCTGCAGCTCTTGATCTTCTCTGCAGCTTTGGTCTTCTTTAAAACTCTTCTTGATCTTGATCTTCTCTTGCTCTTGATCTTCTCTTCAGCTCTTTCTTCTTCTTCTCTTAAACTCTTGATCTTCTCTTTCTCTTGATCTTCTCTAATGAGCTCTTGATCTTCTCTGCAGCTCTTGATCTTCTCTTTCTTTTGGTCTTCTTTAAAATCTTCTTACAGCTCTTGATCTTCTCTGCAGCTCTTGATCTTCTCTGCAGCCTTTGGTCTTCTTTAAAACTCTTGATCTTCTCTGCTTGATCTTCTCTGCAGCTCTTGATCTTCTCTGCAGCCTTTGGTCTTCATTTAAAACTCTTGATCTTCTCTACAGCTCTTGATCTTCTCTGCAGCTCTTGATCTTCTCTGCAGCCTTTGATCTTCTCTTAAAACTCTTGATCTTCTTTACAGCTCTTGATCTTCACTGATCTTCTCTGCAGCCTTTGGTCTTCTTTAAAACTCTTGATCTTCTCAGCTCTTTCTTCTCTGTATCTGCTTGATCTTCTTTAAAACTCTTGATCTTCTCTACAGCTCTTGATCTTCTCTCTCTGATCTTCTCTGCAGCCTTTGGTCTTCTTTAAAACTCTTGATCTTCTCTACAGCTCTTGTATCTTCTCTGCAGCTCTTTCTTCTGCAGCCTTTCACTTCTTCTCTGCATCTTTGATCTTCTCTTTGCAGCTATCTTGATTTCTCTGAAGCCTTTGGCTTCTGAGCCTCTTTTTCAAAACTCTTGATCTTCTCTGCATCTCTTGATCTTCTCTCTGCAGCCTTTGGTCTTCTTTAAAACTCTTGATCTTCTCTGCTCTTGATCTCTCTGCAGCTCTTGATCTTCTCTCTCCTTTGGTCTTCTCTAAAACTCTTGATCTTCTCTACAGCTCTTGATCTTCTCTGCAGCTCTTGATCTTCTCTTTCTTTTTGGTCTTCTTTAAAACTCTTGATCTTTCTCTACAGCTCTTGATCTTCTCTGCAGCTCTTGATCTTCTCTGCAGCCTTTGGTCTTCTTTAAAACTCTTGATCTTCTCTTTCTTGATCTTCTCTGCAGCTCTTGATCTTCTCTGCATCCTTTGGTCTTCTCTGCATCTCTTGATCTTTCTTTAAGCTCTTGATCTTCTCTGCAGCTCTTGATCTTTCTGCAGCTCTTGGTCTTCTTCTCTTGATCTTCTCTGCTCTTGATCTTCTCTCTGCTCTTGATCTTCTCTGCATCTTCTTTGTCTTCTTCTTTAAAACTCTTGATCTTCTCTACAGCTCTTGATCTTCTCTGCAGCTCTTGATCTTCTCTGCAGCCTTTGGTCTTCTTTAAAACTCTTGATCTTCTCTACAGCTCTTGATCTTCTCTGCAGCTCTTGATCTTCTCTGCTGCATGCCTTTGGTCTTCTTTCTAAAGCTCTTGATCTTCTCTACAGCTCTTGATCTTTAAAAACTCTTGATCTTCTCTGCAGCTCTTGATCTTCTCTGCAGCTCTTGGTCTTCTCTGCAGCTCTTTCTTCTCTCTTTGGTCTTCTTTAAAACTCTTGATCTTCTCTCTGCAGCTCTTGATCTTCTCTTTCTTCCTTTGGTCTTCTTTAAAACTCTTGATCTTTCTCTGTCAGCTCTTGATCTTCTCTGCAGCTCTTCTCTCTCTGTTGTATTCTGCCTTTGGTCTTCTTTAAAACTCTTGTCTTCTCTGCAGCTCTTGATCTTCTCTTTGGCTCTTGATCTGCTTCTCTGCAGCTCTTGATCTTCTCTGCAGCTCTTGATCTTCTCTTTCTTGATCTTCTCTGCAGCTCTTGATCTTCTCTGTCAGCTCTTTGATCTTCTCTGCAGCCTTTGGTCTTCTTTACAACTCTTGGTCTTCTCTGCAGCTCTGCAGCTCTTTCTCTTTGCTCTTGATCTTCTCTGCAGCCTTTGGTCTTCTTTAAAACTCTTGATCTTCTCTACAGCTCTTGATCTTTCTCTGCAGCTCTTGATCTTCTCTGCTCATCTTCTTTCTTTCTTCTCTGCAGCTCTTGATCTTTCTGCAGCTCTTGATCTTCTCTGCAGCCTTTGGTCTTCTCTTTCTTGATCTATCTGATCTTCTCTGCAGCTCTTGATCTTTCATCTGCAGCTCTTGATCTTCTCTTTCTGATCTTCTTTGCTCTTAATCTTCTTTGGTCTTCTTTAACTCTCTTGATCTTCTCTGCAGCTCTTGATCTTCTCTTGTCTTGAGTCTTCTCTGATCCTTTGGTCTTCTTTTCTCTTGATCTTCTCTGCAGCTCTTGATCTTCTCTGCAGCCTTTGTATCTTCTTTAAAACTCTTGATCTTCTCTGCAGGCCTTGATCTTCTTGATCTTCTCTTTGCAGCTCTTGATCTGATCTTTAATGCTCTTGATCTTCTTTCACTTGTGCAGCCTTTTTGGTCTTCTTTAAAACTCTTGATCTTCTCTTTCTGCTCTTGATCTTCTCTGCAGCTCTTGATCTTCTCTGCATCTTCTTTGATCTTCTCTTTCTCTTGATCTTACAGCTCTTGATCTTCTCTAAGCTCTTGTTCTTCTCTGCATCTCTTGATCTTCTCTGCAGCCTTTGTATCTTCTTTTCTTGATCTTCTTGATCTTCTCTGCAGCTCTTGATCTTCTCTTTCTCTTGATCTTCTTTGCAGTTTTTTGATCTTCTCTGCAGCTCTTGATCTTCTCTACAGCCTTTGTATCTTCTTTAAGCTCTTGATCTTCTCTGCAGCTCTTGATCTTCTCTGCAGCCTTTGGTCTTCTTTAAAACTCTTGATCTTCTCTACTGCTCTTGATCTTCTCTGCAGCTCTTGATCTTCTCTGCAGCCTTTGGTCTTCTTTAAAACTCTTGATCTTCTCTGCTCTTCTCTGCAGCTCTTGATCTTCTCTGCAGCTCTTGATCTTCTCTTTTCTTGTTTTAATCTGCTTTCTTGATCTTTCACTGCTCTTGATCTTCTCTGCTTGATCTTCTTGATCTTTCTCTTTGCAGCCTTTGTATCTTCTTTAAAACTCTTTTGATCTTCTCTGCAGCTCTTGATCTTCTTCTCTCTTCTTTAAAACTCTTGATCTTCTCTACAGCCTTTGGTCTTCTCTGCAACTCTTGATCTTCTCTGCATCCTTTGGTCTTCTTTAAAGCTCTTGATCTTCTCTTCAGCTCTTGATCTTCTCTGCAGCTCTTGATCTTCTCTTGCCTTTGGTCTTCTTTAAACTTCATCTGCAGCTCTTGATCTTCTCTGCAGCTCTTGATCTTCTCTGCAGCCTTTTTAAAACTCTGTCTTCTGCAGCTCTTGATCTTCTCTAGCTCTTGATCTTCTCTGCAGCTCTTTGATCTTCTTTGCAAAACTTTGACTTTTCATCTACAGCTCTTGATCTTCTCTGCAGCTCTTGATCTTCTCTGCATCCTTTCTTCTGTCTTCTTTAAAACTCTTGATCTTCTCTACAGCTCTTGATCTTCTCTGCAGCTCTTGATCTTCTTTCATCCTTTCATCTTCTTTAAGCTCTTGATCTTCTCTTTTCTTGTCTTCTCTGCTTTCTTCTTTCTTCTCTGCAGCTCTTGATCTTCTCTTGCCTTTTCTTCTTTAAAACTCTTTCTGAAGTTTCTCTTGTCTTCTGCAGCTCTTGATCTTCTCTTTGCCTTTGGTCTTCTTTTTAAAACTTTAATTCTCTTTCTCTTGATCTTCTCTGCAGCTCTTGATCTTCTCTTTCTTGTTGCATCTCTCTTTACAGCTCTTGATCTTCTTGCTGTCAAAACTCTTGATCTTCTCTGCAGCTCTTGTATCTTCTCTGCAGCTCTTGATCTTCTCTGCAGCTCTTGGTCTTCTTTAAAACTCTTGATCTTCTCTACTTGCTCTTTCTTCTCTGCAGCTCTTGATCTTCTCTTTCCTTTGGTCTTCTTTAAAACTCTTGATCTTCTTACTGCTCTTGATCTTCTCTGCAGCTCTTGATCTTCTCTGCAGCCTTTGGTCTTCTTTAAAACTCTTTTGATCTTCTCTTGCTCTTGATCTTCTCTGATCTTCTCTGCAGCCTTTGGTTTCTTTAAAACTCTGATCTTCTCTGCAGCTCTTGATCTTCTTCTCTGCCTCCTTTGTATCTTCTTTAAAACTTTGATCTTCTCTAAAGCTCTTGATCTTCTCTGCAGCTCTTGATCTTCTCTGCATCTTGATCTTTGGTCTTCTTCTTTAAAACTCTTGATCTTCTCTACAGCTCTTGATCTTCTCTGCAGCTCTTGATCTTCTCTGCAGCCTTTGGTCTTCTTTTAAAACTCTTGATCTTCTCTGCTGCTCTTGATCTTTCTCTGCAGCTCTTGATCTCTTGATCTTCTCTTTTTGTCTTGATCTTTAAAACTCTTGATCTTCACTGTCATCTTGCATCTCTTGATCTTCTCTTTGATCTTCTCTGCTGCTCTTGATCTTTCTCTGCATCCTTTGGTCTTCTTTAAAACTCTTGATCTTCTCTTACAGCTCTTGATCTTCTCTCAGCTCTTGATCTTCTCAAAACTCATCCTTTGGTCTTCTTTCTTCTTCTTCTCTCTCTTGATCTTCTCTGCAGCTCTTGATCTTCTTCATCTGCATCTTCTTGCATCTTCTCTTTTGTGTTCTTGATCTCTTTACAACTCTTGATCTTTTGATCTTCTCTGCAGCCTTTGGTCTTCTTTAAAACTCTTGATCTTCTCTTTCAGCTCTTGATCTTCTCTATCTTGATCTCTGCATCCTTTGGTCTTCTTTAAAACTCTTGATCTTCTCTACAGCTCTTGATCTTCTCTGCAGCTCTTGATCTTCTCTGCATCCTTTGGTCTTCTTTAAAACTCTTGATCTTCTCTACTGCTCTTGATCTTCTCTACAGCTCTTGATCTTCTCTGCAGCTCTTGATCTTCTCTGCAGCCTTTGGTCTTCTTTAAAACTCTTGATCTTCTCTACAGCTCTTGATCTTCTCTGCAGCTCTTGATCTTCTCTGCAGCCTTTGGTCTTCTTTAAAACTCTTGATCTTCTCTACAGCTTTCTTGAGTTTCACTGTCTCTGCAGCTCTTGATCTTCTCTGCAGTTTTGGTCTTCTTTAAAACTCTTGATCTTCTCTGCAGCTCTTGATCTTCTCTGCAGCTCTTTTGATCTTTCTCTGCAGCTCTTGATCTTCTCTTTCTTTCTTAAAACTCTTTGATCTTCTCTGAGCTCTTGATCTTCTCTGCAGCTCTTGATCTTCTCTGTTCTCTATTTGGTCTTCTTTAAAACTCTTGATCTTTTACAGCTCTTGATCTTCTCTGCAGCTCTTGATCTTCTCTGCAGCCTTTGGTCTTCTTTAAAACTCTTGATCTTCTCTACAGCTCTTGATCTTCTCTTGCAGCTCTTGTTCTTCTCTGCAGCCTTTGGTCTTCTTTAAAACTTGATCTTCTCTACAGCTCTTGATATTCTCTGCAGCTCTTGATCTTCTCTGCAGCCTTTGGTCTTCTTTCTGCAGCTCTTGATCTTCTACACAGCTCTTGATCTTCTCTGCAGCTCTTGATCTTCTTTCTCTGTCTTCTCTGCAGCTCTTTGGTCTTCTTTAAAACTCTTGATCTCTACAGCTCTTGATCTTCTCTGCAGTTTCTTGATCTTCTCTCATCTTTGGTCTTCTTTAAAACTCTTGATCTTCTCTACAGCTCTTGATCTTCTCTGCAGCTCTTGATCTTCTCTCTTGCAGCCTTTGGTCTTCTTTAAAACTCTTGCTCTTGATCTTCTCTGCAGCTCTTGATCTTCTCTTTCTCTTTGTATCTTGATCTTCTTTGCTGTTGTCTCTGTCTTTCTACAGCTCTTGATCTCTCTCTTTCTTCTCTGTATTTGGTCTTCTTTAAAACTCTTGATCTTCTCTACAGCTCTTGATCTTCTCTGCAGCTCTTGATCTTCTCTTTCTTTTGGTCTTCTTTAAAACTCTTGATCTTCTCTGCAGCTCTTGATCTTCTCTGCAGCTCTTGATCTTCTCTGCATCCTTTGGTTTTCTTTAAAGCTCTTGATCTTCTCTTCTTGATCTTCTCTGCTTTCTTGATCTTTCAGCCTTTGGTCTTCTTTAAAACTCTTGATCTTCTCTTTCTTGATCTTCTCTGCTCTTGATCTTCTCTGCAGTCTTCTTTAAAACTCTTGATCTTCTCTCTTTCAGCTCTTGATCTTCTTAGCCAAGTTTGCTCTTTGGTCTTCTTTAAAACTCTTGATCTTCTCTTTAAATCTTGATCTTCTCTGAAGTTTGATCTCATCTGCAGCTCTTGATCTTCTCTGCAGCCTTTGGTCTTCTTTAAAACTCTTGATCTTCTCTACAGCTCTTGATCTTCTCTGCAGCTCTTGATCTTCTCTCTTCCTTTGGTCTTCTTTAAAACTTTTGATCTTTCTCTTCTTCTCTGCATCTCTTGATCTTTCTCTGCAGCCTTTGTATCTTCTTTAAAACTCTTGACTTTCACTGCTCATCTGCAGCTCTTGATCTTCTCTGCAGCCTTTGGTCTTCTTTAATGACTTTTGATCTGTCATCTACAGCTCTTGATCTTCTCTTTTCTTGTTGTATCTTCTTTGCAGCCTTTCACTGTCATCTGCAGCTCTTGATCTTCTTCTCTTTCTTGTTGTATCTTCTCTAATGCTCTTGATCTTCTCTGCAGCTCTTTGGTCTTCTCTTTCTTCTTGTCTTCTCTACAGCTCTTGATCTTCTCTGCAGCTCTTGATCTTCTCTGTCATCTCTTGATCTTCTCTTTCATCTTCTCTTCTTTCTTGATCTTTCTACAGCTCTTGCTTTCTCTGCAGTTTCATCTGTCATCTGCAGCTCTTGATCTTCTCTTTTGATCTTTCTATCTGCTTTCTTTAAAACTTTGATCTGTCTCTGCAGCTCTTGATCTTCTCTGCAGCCTTTGTATCTTCTTTAAAATGCTTGATCTTTTGCTCTTGATCTTCTCTGGCTTCTTAAAACTCTGACCTTCTCAGCTCTTGATCTTCTCTGCAGCTCTTGATCTTTCTCAGCCTTGTGGTATCTGCTTAAAACTCTTGATCTTCTCACAGCTCTTGATCTTCTGCAGCTCTTGATCTTCTCTTTCCTTTGGTCTTCTTTAAGTTTCTTGTCATCTGCAGCTCTT